CAGTAATTAAGAGATGGTTCCACATTCCTCAAAACACCCTGATCAGAGACCTTGCTGACGGATGTGCTTTGTCGTCAAATCCAGGACGCCATTTTGGTGGCGAGGGTTCTTACCCCTCTGTCGCGGTTCAGTCGGCTTAATCTGAAGCACCAGCTGAAAGGACGGGGAGTCATTAAAATTTGATTTGTACATTAAACAGATTATAGTATAAATGTATGTTAAGAAAGGAAAATAGGATTGATAAATTCTGTAAGCTGAGTGCAACGTGACGCGACATATTATGGTTTTATCTTTATATTTGTATTATAGATAATTGCATAAAATGTTTTGTGTGTACGTATATTTTCATATCATCTATAAATTACGCGATACGAAATGTTTAATTCTTTATATATTTTTATCGACCTCAACAATTAACTGTCTGCATCGGAAATAGTTTCAATTTCACATACGAAACGAATGTAGTAAACATTTCTAGTTTTACAAGGTTTTGTAACACTTTGAAAAATAAATTGGAAAATTAACAATGTTCATATTTTCAATTCTGCTAACTTATAAAAACATTTTTTTTTTCTCCTAGAAATCAAATCAGAATATCATTATTATCAAAAATAAATTCTAAATCTATATTATAATGATCCGATATATATTCGTGGGGAGTGTGTTTACTTACGCCAGAGATGCGCCACACAAGAGCGATGTTTTTTGTCAGAGCAATACAATTAAAATTTTCCCTTGAAGAATAAATTTAATGTCCAACTTGTAAACATTATTTCATGCATAAATAATTAATCTTTTCAGTACCACTTCTATCCTGAAATTGTCGCCACTTTATTACAAAAATTGTTCTTCCTATTTAGAAAATGTTATTAAAATAAGAAAATCAGACATATTTAGAAAATCATTGATAACGAAAGATGAGAAATATAGACAAGGTGTCAAAAAGAAAACGGTACTCGCTTTTTTACGTCATATAACTTCTTGAATTTCAGTTATTTGTCTATATCTCTGAGATGAGGTATTATGATTATTTACATCAGTCACATTATTAGGACAGTTCTCCTCATCTTCATTGTCATATTCTCAACGTTTCAGCCGTTGTACGCTCCGGCCTTCTTCAGGTGATTGAAATTTCGAATCGAAATCTTTATTTCGTCCACCGGGATAGATTGTTCTAGTTCCTCGTGCCATGCTTCTTTCGGGTGTCTCAGTTATGTTCTCTTTAAGTCAACTCTCCAAGTTTCTTTCACTATTGAACTCACACCTCTTTTGATCTAGCCATAAAGACACTGGTAAGATCCGATAAATCTTCAATATCCCCATCACTGATTGAGCTAAAAGTTCAATCCAGAACTCAAGATACAGGGAAAAAAAGGTCGGCTCTTTTTTACCGGACCAGTAAGTACCTTACATCGCGTTCTATACTCTATCTTTGCACGAGCCAGATCACACCAAATATAGAGTACTGGTGTCATATATGAATTGGAACTGCCCAGTCCTCACTTTCCTGTCTTGATAGAGTTCGAAAGCTTCTTCGTAGGTATTTTGATTACGTATTATTTTATCTCCTACAACTCTTTTCCCACGGACGAAACTTCATAAGCCTTTCGTTACGCTAAGTCTATTCCCATTAAAATGTTTACGACGAGCTACATCCCTTAATCTCGCACTCCCCCACCTGACCTACATAACTAAGACCCGTTCTGAAATGTACGAATAAAATGAATCATCCTGATTACCTTTATATAAAGTTCCATTTGGACAGCTTCTTCCCCAGAACAGACTCCCGAGAGGTTGCTTCCCCAACCACTACAATCTTAAACCCATTAGGTTTGTGTTTAACCGATAGCTTTCTAAGCTCTTAAAATACTCTTCTTACAAAGTGGCTCTTCGACCTTATACTGGGTAAACACTTCGTATTAAAAATAATTTCTCAATGTTTTTTTCAGAATAAATGTTATCAAAATAGCATTTTTGTCGCTTGAATTATCTGTTTGTAGAGACGCCGCCATGTTTTCTCTACAAGCGAATATACATTACCTTAAATAAATAGTCGATAAATCTTAGAATGGACTCGGGTTATAATGCGACAATATGTAAATTTGGAATTCCGGCTAACGTCAGCCAAGTTTTTTTTTTTTTTTTTTTTTTAAGCGTTTCACCCCAGGCAAGGCGGAGAGCCACTAGCACGCAAGAGGTTACAGAGAGTTTGAGTGAGAGCAGATAGGAATGATAGAGGAAAGGATGAAGAGAAGGATAGGGGATAGATCAAGGCATCTGGAGACGTCGATTGATATTACATTTGAATAGTTGGAGATTAAAGCTATCAGGAAACAGAAAAATCGGAGTGAGTTCCACAGGCGAGAAGTGCGAGACATGAAGTTATTGGAGTAGAAGAGACGGTTACATTTAACAGTTTCGACAGTGAAAGGGTGAGAGCGAGATGCCAGCCTAGTTGAACGCTTAAATTCATTAAGTCTGGGAACCAGCGAAAGCAGCTCATCGGAGCAGTTACCATGATAGTATTTGTAAAAAAAGACAGAGGGAGGTGACGGCACGTCTGTGAGAGAGCGACTGCAGACGATATGCCAGATCAGGGCAAATTATATTGCATACCCGTCTCTGGATTTTATCAAGAATCTTGAGACAAACATAAGGGGCTACAGACCATATATTGCAGCAATACTCCATGCAAGGGCGAAAGGTTGATAAACTTCCAAATGATATCAACATAAGCCAATGAAATTACATAAATTACTTATTGTGGAGGTGTTCCAAAGTCACGGCCAGCAGTATTTTATCATGAAGCCACGAACTTAGTCTTCTGTAGAGCAATTATCATTCGAATTTTCTTAAATACAACTGTTTTATTGTTTATTTATGATCTCATGTTTCGTGGTTGATTTTTTGACGACTTTTCCTAGTTAAACTGCTTACTTAATCAAATAATACGGTTTTCTATCATTAGCTTTTCGATCATATCTTGGGATTAAAGCGACGTGGAGTAATGGATAGCAGCTTGGATTAAGGAATCGGAGAGCCGAGTTCGAATTCCAGTCGAATACATTTATTTTCAATTACATGCTAATAACTTTGAGAAAAGTTTGAATCCTCTTCTTCTCCCTAAAGATAAATAGCAGGACAGACCGGGTTCTATAGTCTTGGATGGCAACTAGTCTAATGCTGAAAGAAATGGTAACCTACTGCGAGAAATAATCTACCTCGTTAGTCATGTATCGAAAGATACATGATCACCTAAACGTATATTACGCATGGAACATAACTGACTGAAACAATGTGGTTAGTGTTAGAATATTCCATGATTAATATAACCAACTAGCGAAATGTAAAAATTATATTGATTCAAAAATCTTTCGACTCATACAGCAATCGCTATCACTTGACTTAAAATATTTTTGCCCTTCCTTGACTTTAAAGGAGTGCCCTTTGCCATGCTGATGTTGCTAAATCTGTTACGAAAAAAGAACTAAACAAAATGAACACAAAACGATCAGCTTTAAAAAAAAGGACTCGTAACTGGAAAAACCGAATGAAAAAAGAATGTTAACAACAAATGCTTTTTCACACCCAACCCAGTTCTGCGGATCAACGTTGAGTTTAAGCAAGCGAATGAGCCAATTGGAGGAAAGTGCCATGCAGACTTAATTTTTTCCCACTTGTGACGAATGCAGCTATCGATTTTTTTGCATGCTAGCATGCTAGTTAGCATTCGTGTCAGTCAGCTGTTGGCTCTCACTCTGGCCAGTAGAAAATGGCCGTAAACTACATGAAAACTGCCGTAAAAGCATGAAAAAATCGATTATTTCCACTATCGATGGGAGTTGGGAAATGCAAAGTCGGACTTGGTCTTCCCGCTAACTTGGAACATGTGCATGTAAATTTTGGTGCAAATCCGTCGAAAATTGCGGCCGTGCATTCGTTACACACAAACACACACAAACACACACCCTCCCTTTTATAGATAGAGATGACTTAGTGTCGACAGTTTTCCTCGTAATAATAAATAAAGAAATAAAAGATTCAATAATTCAGCGATGTACAGCAATAAAGAAAATGGCGACGATTTTTAATTAAAATATAAATAGTGTAAATATGAATTAATGTGACACCGGGGAGCAAAAAAACCTTTCACAACTGTTGAACGTTTAATCGTAAACATTTAAAATAAACTTATTTACATTATTCAGACTGTTATCCTCATCTTCATTGTTATATTCACAATATTTCGACCGTTGTACGCTCTGGTCTTCTTCAGGTGATTGGAATTTCGAACCGAACCCCTTATTTCGCACACCGGAGTAGATTGTTCTCGTCCCACGTGCCATGCTTATTCCTGGTATCTCAGTTATTTCCCTTTATCTCAGCTCTCCAACTTTTTGGTTCAACACTGCTGTGGAATGGTATTGAACTCGCAACTATTTTGCTCTAGTTTTTGGATCTAGCCAAAGTCTTTATCCACTGGGTCATGTGTTTTTTGAGTGTTGAGTTAAAGGGAAATAACTGAAATATCCGGAAGAGGCATGTCACGTGGAAGTAGAAGAATTTACCCCAGTGAACGAAATAAAGGCTGCGTTTCGAAATTCTAATCACTTGAAGAAGTCAGAAGCATACAACAGCCGAAACGTTGTGTATATGGCAATGAAGATGAGTATAAGAGTCCGAATAATGTAAGTAATAAAGGGTACAGTTCGAAATGAAGAAGCCCGGAGCGTACAGCGGCCGAAACGTCGTGAACATGACAATGAAGATGAGGACAAAAGTCCGAACAATGTAAATAATTACAAATCCTCGTCTGAGAAATATAGACAAATATCGTTTGTATTATTTCATTTTATTTATTCATTATTGAGTGTTTATCTCTTTCATTTTTGCTTTTGTTTAAATTCGCTAATGTTAAATGAAACAGCGTGAGTTTGAAAAAAAAGAAATTCCCCACAAATGAAAAAGTGTAAAATTGTAAAAAAAGCACCACCACAGAA